GTGCTTTGACACTGGCACTGACCTGATGGTGACATACCAGAGGCCCCTCGGCTAAGCCCCTCCTACCTTGCGGGGCCCCATTTAGCCCTTTACAACAGGCAGCAAACACTGGCCAAAGCACAGCGTGTTGTGTACAGGGAACACAGTCTTCCACATCAAACTACATACAGGCGTGATAGACTGTAGGTTACTCTGGGCCAGTGTTCAAAGAAGCTGCTGTGTATTCAGTATAAATGGATAATTGTTCTTTGGAGAATGCACAAACAGACATAAAATTTTGTGTATGTGTCTTGGGGTGGGGTGGGAGGCAAAGGAGAGTGTTAGCTGGGGAAATGCGAGCTAGCCAGCACGTGATTGGCCAACCAAGAGGGCTGTTCCAGACTAGATTTGTGGTTTAGCTCAGGTCGGGGGGTTAATTTTCAACTCAGGGAAAGAATAGCTGGGGCCCAAGCCCCCTGTACCAACCTGGCTGATACAGCTAGTTTCATGGAAGACAACCAAAGTGTAAAGAAGTTTGTGACGGAGACAACAGCCGGACGAAACCGTCCTTGCCTTCCCCCCTCATTTTCTTACTTTCATACTCTACTTCTCTTCTTACACCCTTACCTTATTTGCTTGTGTTCCTCCCTAAGAAGAGGTATGTTTTCTGACTACACATGCCCTTTTTGTGTCTGTGACTGACGCTACTTCTGTCTGGCAGATGCCTGAGTTACAGAAATTAAGGCAGGCAACAGCAGAGGCAGAGGTGAGGTTAACTTGGGAGACTGGTGCACATGTCTTAACACAGACGGGAACTTATGCAACACCAGCTGTGGTCCCTGAAACTGAGTCTCCTCATTTCACTCTTCTTCCATTTCCTCCTGCCTCCCTGTCGTGGTCCATTTCCTCTTCTATTCAGTGTCCGTGTCACCCGGCAACTCGCCACATCCATCAAGGTCGGAGACCCGATCAATAGCCACTGGCTTTCTTCTCATCCGCCTTGCAGACGCACACAAGTGGTCTTATTGCTTATGTAACGATCGACTTATCGGGTCATTTGGCTGCTTATTTTGTTACTGTCCACTGATTGGGGCCCAGGGGGTATTGACTGTTTACAGACACATGTGGCCAACACAGAACTGTCTGAGTTAAAAGAAAGAGATGATGATGATGATGATGATGATGATGATGAGCAGAGTGAAGAGCAGACTGAAGGCCAAGTTAACTGAAGTCTAAAGTCAAGATGCGTGAGGACATGAACGCAAGAGAAGCAGGCAGATGGAAGACTGACGTCAAGATAGGGGGAGAGGTAGAGGGAGGAGGAAGAGATAGCAAAGGCAGCACAGTGAACGATTAGCATGCCTGCCAAAACCCAATTAGATACAGCCCAAGAGAATGACTGACAAGCAGACAGACAGACAGAGCAGACAGCCCAGGAGACAGCCAGAGAGCGCAGCTGCACTGGTCTGTGGTAATGAAGTCACTGGTTTCCAAATAGCAAATAGAGGAAGCCAGAGAGATGCAGCTGTCTGCCGTCTGTGCCGCAGCCACTGTGTCAGCCCAGCCAGGGAGGCAGACAGAGGAAGGCTGTTCTCTCCGTCTGACACTTCTGACTCTGGGCCAGCACAATGCTACAAACAAGGCTGAGGCAAATAAGCAGCACACAGTTATGTTCACTGTGTCGTTCTATCATGGGATTATGCTCACTAGTCTTCATAAACATAACTAAAATATCAGTTTGAAATGTTTTTTTCTTATTTGGAAATAACAGCTTTTTTTTTTTTAAACTTAGACATATGAATTAAGGGGAATTTATGACTCTGGTCAATCAAACCGAAAGGCACCACCAGTTATATAGCCGTATAATTGTTTACATATTAAACAGTAAAAATAACCTGGTAGTATCTCTGTGTGTCGAAACATGACTTGACCTAATATAACCAGTGACTACTTCTGGCAATTTTGTCATTCAGATGTTTGGTAATACACCGCTGTCTGGTCTGTCATGCACACACGTAAACCCAAACAAACAAAATGTCCCTCCAGCAAGAAAGATATTTCACAAGATGGTGAGTATGATCATCAAGTTGGAATTTCTGTTACTTCCTTTCTTGTCAGGAAAAAAAAAAAAAAAGTAAAAATGACGACACATGATCTTGTCTCAGTGGAAAGTACAAGTGTCCGTCACAGCCCCTGTAGGCAAAATGAACTCATTGTCTGTCAGTTACTAAAGTAACTCTTGAGATAAGGCTTCAGCTTGTTGCTGTCTGTTGGTGGCGTCTGTCTAGCAAACTCTATTTACATAGCAGGGATCAGTAGACATGGTAGCAGTGCCTCAGGGCACAAAGCACCGTTTATAAAGAGCAAGTCCTGGAGTTTTTAACTGCACCTTTTCAAACCAAACACTCCTAACAGGATATGGGAGACTAGTAGCCATTGGAGAAAGTGGGAAAAAAAACTTCCAGAAGGCTCCCCTTGTTTGTGTCTCTTCTCTTCTAGAGGTCCCAGAGCTCTCCGGTAAATCTATGAACTGCTTGTAAATGTGCACACTGACACTGTGTGTAAATAAGGGCCACTGGGAAAGGGGTCTGCAGCCGGGGTTAGACCAACACACCGAGGCGGTCCATCTTTCTAAAAAGCATGTGTGACTATAAGCTGCTTGGCCTGCCTTAACATCCACTGGGATGTGGAAAGTATGAGTCACACAGCCAGTGCAGTGGAGGCGGCTGGACAGAGTCTGGAGGATGTTCAGGGTGAGAGACATGTCCGTCTGCCTCACTTCCTGCTCAGTTAAACACACTTTCATTACACAAACACACACACATAAACAGAGAGTGGTTGGGCTTGGAAGGGAACCTCTGTGCTGCGTGAAGCGGGACACTGCCAGGTCACCTTGTTCTCTGGCCACTGACCTTTCACACACCCGTACATCCGCCTCCTGGGGGGGGGGTAGTGGCATCCTCTTTTTATGCCAAAATCACCTGCTTCCTGTAGACTCACAGGCAACTGTCTTTCCAGGAATTTGTCCATTTGTGCCTGTGCATGTCTGTCTACACAGACTTAACTGTTCATCAGATTTCACTTCTGCAATTAATTTTACAACGTCATTTCTGTCAAGACAAACCTTCAAAAATAAAGAAGAGAAAACCTAGTCACCATCACCAAACATTGGCGGTAAGATAAAAAAAAAAGAAATTACGAAAAAAGAAAAAAAACAGCAACTGAAAAATCACCCCAGAGAGAAGATGGCACCTGAAACTGTGGGGGGACAGAGGCTCCAGAAAGCCTGGCCAAGTGTGAGACAGAGAGAGACAATGACGACGATGATGATGATGATGTGTCATACTAGTCACCAGTTAGCAGCTCATTACACACACTGAGGTTGGCAGTGTCTCACACATAAAAACACACATACACAAAACAAAGACAGTGGGACTCATCATCCACCTTGAGCCTATTTTTTTGTACGCGCGTTTCCTTTGTGGTATCAAAACATCTGTGTCTTTGAGAGAGAGCGTCTACGACTTTCAAGATTCATACCTTAAAGCAAGACAGGAGGAAGAGGAGGAGGAGGACAATTGGAAAGAGGTGGGACAGGAATGCGGTCGGGACGCTAGACGAGACAGCAGACGGTATTTCCGGCACGTTCGCACACCAAGTTAACAAGACAAAGCCAAACATCTCTCCATCTAAGGTACACAAACAGTTCAAAATGTGTGTCTTACGTTCCAGAAATGTGCTTTCCCTCACCTGCACACACTATGAATGCACACTGTGATCTCTCTACTCGACAGGCTCTCACTTGACCTGCTACCTGCTGTACTATAATCACAAATAAATTTTGACAGTGCGGGGTTTGCAGAAGAGTCCCTTTCTTTTCAAAATGAGTGTTTGCTCGTTAAACTGTTTCCTTTTTTAACTTCACTAAAAAACAATCTGAGCTGATGATTTGAGTGTGAACAAACCACACCAAACAGACAAACACAACCACAACTTCACCTAACAAAACAATACAAAAAGGGGCAGTCCACTGTGGTCAGATGGAGGTCATGAGAAAAACCAGCCAACGGCAGGGAAACAATCTGGAGCTTTTCAAGATTCCTGCTGCCCTCATGACTTAGATACTGCATTGACATGATTTTTTTTTTTTTTTTACACAGTAATCTTTGGAAGTCTGTAGGAATCTGGCTTTCAGATAAACACTAAATACTAGATAAATACTAGTAATGCAATAAAGCCATTTCACTTTCAAGTTTGCCTGGAGGTAAATGGCTCACTAATTATGTCTAAGTTCCAGTCCTGTGGCTCATAGTACATCTAGATATTTTATTTCATGGAGCACCTGTATTTTGTCCATGTTGCTAGGAAACAGAATTTATAAAATAATTCTCTAACAGATGTCATATAATGTCTAAGCAGCCAAAAATGTCTTTAGCTTTGGTGTGCACCAGATTTGCTTTCCATTTTCTCCCACTGTGTGGGAATGTGCAAAAAGACAAACTCCAGTTAGCTTGGGCAGACTAGATTTTCTTTTTTTTCCCCAATTAGTTAAAAAGATCTAACTCAAGCAGGAGCCTCTTCCTGAGCCTCGTATATTGGCCTTTTGTTCAGTGACATTCCCGGTGACCTCCAGGTGACCTGAGGGGACAAATGATGTACTTCCCCTTCAGCTGTGGCCAGCTGGCCTCACCTCGTCTGATCAGACCTGGCCAGAGAAAATGACACCACCTGTCCTCTGTCACACATACTAGGTCAACACTGGTTTAAGAAAACATCAGCCGTGAGGTAGACTGGTCAAACCTGCCAAACACACTGAATATGGGACTGAACCATCACAGAAGAGAAGAAGGTTCAACTAGCCAACCAGTTTTGGAGATTTGAAAAGCACATTATCCAACTAATACAAGTTTTAGTTGGCTTCTTTAGCAGAATGATGATTAAAAAAATGAATTAATTTTGCTACACGCAAACAAGCAGAAACAAACCAAAGACATACAGGTATCATTCTGAAGTGCACTTACTTTATCTAGCGACCTCTTGAGCTGGTAGTGGAACTTCTCTTTGACCTCGTCCAGGAGCTGCTTGAGCCTGGGTTCCTCAGGCGTGCCCTGGTACTTCCTGGCAAGCTGCAGGTAGCAGGGCCACTTGGCTGAGTCAAAGCCCCAGTGGCAGGTCCTCTTATCAGGTGACTTGTGTGAATGCATGACAAACTTCTGCGGTGAAAAGAGCAACTGGCACTCAACACACTGGATGCAGGGTGCCTCAGGCTGGGTGTAGAACTGGGGCACAAAGAGACCGTGGCACTTCCCCAGACACTGGTGCTCCACCTGGAAGCTGGCTTCGCTCTCCTTCAGCAGGCCCTGGGTCGACAGCTTACCACTGGGGTCGGCGGGCAAGGCTGCCCCTGGGCGCAGCAGAGCGTTGCACAAACGTTGTGCATCCGTCAGTGTAATGAGGCCACAGGAAGGTGCGTTGAACGGCAAAATGCCCAGCACTTTGAGGATGTGCAGCTGCTCAGCGTCGCAACGTGAACAGTAGACGTAGAGCTCGTCGCACACAGTGTTGATCTGCTGCAGTGAGAAGTCGCGGAGCACAGAGTTGAGCACCTGGGGCAGGCAGAGCCGCTTTTCTCCTCCAACAACGAAGCAGGAGATGGACTCTCCTTCCAGCAGCGAGTGGGTGAGTTCGGTGGAGCTGTCACAGGGAACCAGCAGAGGGCCCCCTCCCAGAACTGGAGGGGAGGGTAGAGGGGGCATGCCGGCTGGGGAATGCTCGTGGCCGGTACGGGCTGAGAAAGCAGCTGGGCCCCCAAGGGAGCTCTGGCTGCTGAGGGTGAACTGGGCCAGTGTGTGTTTGAGCCCAGGGCTCAAGTCCAGGGCTTTAGCAGAGCCCACCACATGTAATTCAGCCCGACCCGCCACATCCATGTCAGAGTCATGGTGCAGATCCTCAGTCTGCTCCCTCTTCACCTTGGGAGTTTTGGGGAGGGAATCGTAGCTGCGACGCTTCAGGTTGATCTCTGCCATTACTCGCTTCTTGATGGGTGCGTCTTCCAGTCGCTCTCTGTACAGCCGTTTCATGTTGCCCTTGAATGAAGTCAAGTCTTTGAAAGGGGTTTTCAAACTGGTCTGGGTGCTGGCCATGTCTAAGCACTGGGTTATTGTCGTTTTTGTCTGCTGACTTAGTTCTTGTATTCCTCTGAGTCTTTTTTTTTCCCCTCCTTAAGTCTTTTCAAATGACACAAATCTTCTGGTAGTTAGACACATGCATGATGGTGATTGAAGTTTTCTATTTTCTGATCCACTTCCTGAGCATGAAAAAACAGGAATTTAGAAAACAGAACAGGCGGGAAAAAAATATCTGTCATTATCTAAACTATAACTAATGAATTCTTTTCCTGTAGAGGAATAAACTAACTGAAAATGATCTCATCAAAAAATGTTGTGGAGCATGAAATATCCATAAGGAGTTTAAATGTTTTATGGCGGCTGTCCTGGCTGGGGGCTGAAGAGGTCAATGGCTGTTTGCATGGACCACTAAACCAAATGGCCATTACCATACTTCACACAAACACATGGCTACTTCAGCCCTTGTAATTGAACCCAAGGGGAAACTTGCATCAAGGTTTTCACTAAAGGTTTTGAAACAAACTTGCTAGCGCAAAAGTGAGAATTTTAACAAGCGAAACCAGTTCACCAGACACAACAACCTGAGTGAAATCCCCCACCACCCTGCCCCGCTCCCATTACATTGTTAATGTAAGGCTGATACACAATGGTCAAAAACATTTCACTTTGCAAATGAAAGTGCCCTTCCCTTCCCATATTGTGCCTTCCCCTGAGTCTGCTTACCCCACGCTGACCCCATCAACTCCATGAAAAACAATTGATAAAAGCGTTAACAGCAGTCGTCCCCTTCTCCCAGTCCTTTCACAGCTTGACATAGAGCGGCATGGAGAGCGGTGTTCCCCCCCCCCCCCTTTTTTTTTTACTACCATACTTTACTGCGGAATTACCAAGTCTACCGTAATAAGGTAAACAACACTTAGCTCCCCAATTTAAAACGCCATGTAGTTGATAATGGCTACTGCTGCAATATGACACTAACTGCAGATTGAATGCACTTCATCTTGAAAATGCAACATATACTGTATCATTTGCGCTTCATTTATAAATCTGCACTGAATGGATATTTTGGTTTGTCAAAAAGGCAAAAAAAATAAAAACCTCAGTGACTAAATTTGCACGCTTTTGCAGATTTCAGCATCCCATCGTTTTTTTCCACCGAGTGAAACGCCGCTGCGGTGCAAACCTTGAGCTCGATTCCGAAACGGGTTGATGTTTGTGGGCGTTTTAATGGCAAATATTACCGTGGGCCGATTAAAAGAAAAAAAAAACACTGCAAAATCAGATCAGCGACCAATAAATGAGGATCTACGAGGAGGCATCTTCCCCCCCACCACTCCCCCACAGCCTGCTCGGTGTATTACAGGACTTCGGTTTGGCTGCTTAAACCTCCAACTAGATCGGTTTATTTCTGACAGAAATCACAACGCCCGCATTGGTTTGCTGAATAACAACGCTGTGGCATTTCTCATAAACAACCTCACAGTCATATATGTCTATTAGACATATTTCTTAATGTCACCCCCTAGGTCTTGTATCCTTTTTGCTGCAAGGACACCGCGTATAATAATGCTCCTGCTCTGCTCCGTCCCCAGCGAGCCCCCCCTCCCCTCCTTCTCCTCCTCTCCAGTCTGCAAACTGTACCTCGCCTCCTCTGCTGGCTCGCCACGACGGCACTGGTATGCAGACAGCGCTGATAATGACATTCACTGTCTACACTACAGTCTGGTCTGGGAAGGCACCGCGGTCGAGCGTTACGCACACACCGATTTGGTGAGGGCACGGCGGGGTTTACAACCGCGGCTCGCCCGTATGACAGTGTCCTTCCGATGTACCCAACGTCCAAATCGCTTGAAACAAGACATCAAATGTTACGCATTTGAGTGTGACATTATTTTAAACCGTAAATAACAAGATGTTTTCACATCAAACATCTACACACACGTATAGAGAAAGCACACAAATATGCGCATCTGTGTGGAAATCAACTGAGAAACAGCTTATCTTGTCTCTCAACGTCCAATACTAATCGCGCTAGCTAGCTTAGCTACTCCGGTACAATCGGCTCTGAAGCAGTCTAACCAGCGTAGTGGGCTATGTATCAGGCTAACCCAGCTCTCAAGAGCAAAGGCAGGCTAACTTAAGCCAGTTCACCCCAGCAATGAGAGCGATAATACAGCATACTGACTTGCCTGGGCTCATCCAGCACACAGAGGGTGATGACCGAAACGCGTTGTCCGTTGCGACGGAGCAGGATAACCCGCTACAAAACTAAGGCTGGCTAGCCCAGCACAGTGACCGATAAAGTGGGCTGCCCGAGCGGATCGAAAGCGCTAACATTACGGCAGGCTAACCCCAGATAGAGAGCGATACAGCAGGCTAAACCAGGTTAGCTTCTCCCCCCTCTCCGTCCGTCCACTGCGACTGAACAATTCAAACTCAAACGTTAATCGTCTCAGGCTGGGATCCACTTTCAACAACCACATCCGCAAACTGTTTAAATACATCCATTTAAAAGCTCCGTCCGTTTTTAAAAACACTTGCCTGAGCGCTGTGTGTGTCTCTGCGCGTGTCGTCCTCGCTCGCCCGGGGTCTTCTCAGTACTGGAAAAGCCTGGCGGACCGTCAACAAGATGCAGCTAGAGGCTCCACTACAGACCCGTAACGTCACGCTGCACACGGGCTGAGAGGCGGAGACGTCACCCGGCTGACGGAAACTATGCGGGGGTGTCTCTCGTCTGTCTATCTGTCTATCTGCCTGTCTGCCGGTCTGTCTGTCTGCCTGTCTGTCTCATACAGTCTGGGACATTGGTTTCCTCCAGGTAAAGCTGCGAGCGGAGCGAAGGGATAGATAGCGGATACCAAAACTAAGATCTGGGGATTTAGAGAAGTCCTTAAATACCTCCGGGGTAAATATATGTTGTTAGGCCTCTCTTGAACCCCACTTTCGTATACATGGTAGTTTCACCCAAGAACTTGATTAATAGATTAATTGATTTTTATTCAGCTGGAACCAGCTTCTTTAATGTGAGTATTTGCTGGTTTCATAGTTTTCTGTTATAGTAAACTCAATATCTATGTATTTTCACCGGTGCCCAGACAACAAAAGCCATTTGAACATGTCAACTTGGTTCTTAGAGGTTAATGATTCACTATTATCTGCCATTTTATACACTGAACAATCAATCAGTTATTCAAGAAAATAACCGTCAGGCATATCGCACATAATTGTTGGTTGCAGCCTTACAGTATTCCTATGATGTAATAATGCTACACATATAATTTAAGGTAAAGAAACGCAATATGAAGTAAAATAATTTAGGTCTTAAAACTAGAACTAACCCTAACCCTTTACAGGGCCACAAGACAGAACATGGGGGATCCAACATAGTTATAAATGTCAGACAAATTAATGATTAATCAAATTATGTGGAGCTTTTGGGGGGCCCCATAGGGATATGGAGCCCCCAGTCAATATCTCCCTCTGGAATGTGTACTTAAGTACAGTACATGAAGAGACTTGTAGAAAATAGTGAAAATGCCTATCACACTACTCTGGAAACCCAAGGTGACATATCTTTAAATATCTTGTTTTGCCTGAGCAACAGTCCATAATTGAAAGATATTCAGTTTACAATTATATGAAACACATAAAAGCAGAAAATCATCACAATTGATTAGCTGAAACAAGCTAATGTTTGGTATTTTTGCTCTATTCTTTTTCTGTCAGTAAACTAATCAATTAATCACCTAATTAACCAATTTTCCAACTGCTTTCTTTGATTTTTAGGTAGTTATAATCCTACTTTCTCTTATAGTCCAAACCTGAATTGTTTTTGGTTTGAATCATGTTGTAGGTCAGGTTTATTGATGTGTCCCTGGATGACATTTGCCACCATGAACTAACATGACAGTTGCTTTATCTATCTCATTGGATTTCCACCAAGTTTGCCAAAGAAAAAAAAAAAAAAAAAGAGGGGATAAGAGGGGACAAACTGTCTGGGCAAAAGGGTGGTTTCTTCTCCCATAGTTCCCCTCCCCCTCTTTTTATGGACCCATCCTCTGCCAAAGGTCAAGAGGTCATTCGGGCAGTCTATTGTGCTTTTAGTGATGATGGGAGTTAATAAAATCTGAGAATGTGGAGGTCAGGAATTAGATTTTATGAATTATAGGTAATACATTTTCATTTGAAGGAGGTTGAATTCCCTTATTGCGACTTTTACTCTTGAGTCTGAATGTGAACTATATTTATAACTCCTGTCAAGTCTTAATCTGAAAAGGTTATCTTGCTCTGTCTACATATGCCGGGGGTTTTTTCAGCTGGAGTACTGCCTGGCCGGCTGACCGACCCACAGTCTGGTGTCACACGTCTGTGAGAGCATAGAGGCTTGATAAAGCTTTGATAAACAACACCGTCGGCCGTTTCACCGCAGCCTCTCTCTGGCTCACTCTCTGACAGCAAGGTCAGCATTTGTATTATGAGAGCAGATGTGCGTACACCCCGTCCAGCCCCAGAGAACAACAAGAGGGACATTGATTTTCCTGTAATAACATCACTCTGTGCACTGCGGGGAGTAAATTAATCTCATATGTGCAATAATGTGACGAACACTGATTGTTCATTAGGGGTATAAAGCAAAAAGCTGAAGGATGAGGTAGCATGGCCAGTGGTGGGGGAGTTGGGATTCACAGACAGACAGCAACAGACTAGCACATTGATAAGCCTCTCCATTAGCCGAGACTCTGTCTAACTGTTATTGGACTCTGTACTAAGTGGACCCTGGGGGCGGACACCTCACAGTCGTTTTCATACATCCTGTCTGGAATCGATGGTGGATATTGAAATATGTCCTGAGTTGTTCAGTGGATGTGTCTGTAATTTGGGGTAATGATGCTTGCTGAAGTGGTGCTATGAGGTCTGAGGTGTCAGTGTCAGGCGGACATTCAGCAAATGTTTTGCTCTCTGGTGTGTGTCAGCAGGTTGCGTCAGGTCTCATCTTGCAGCCACATTAAAACCATGTGTTGTACGTTCAGTGAGTGGCTCTAAAGTATTTTGTTTGTGACTAATTTGAAACAGTAGTCATCATTTGGCTCCTAAAATTCAACAGGAGGTAGACAAAATAATGGAAACTCTGAAATAATCACAGTTACAAACACAGCTATACAAGTGGGTAAGGTTGGATGCC